TGCCCTGTAGATTCATTTCGTTCTCCGCATTACATGCATAGCCACATCAAATTCATTCTTGATTGAGTTAAATCCCTTAATTTCGGTGAAATTTACGTAGTTAAGCAAGTTCTGCAGAAGTCAAAGTAAAGATGTTGATGGATCCAGTTCCGATAGGTCCTATGCTTAAGCGCCATTACAAGTAAAATGTCCGTGCGACAACGGATGGATTCAGCGCTTAAAGGTGGCCACCTAAAAATATCAACATAAAATTTATAACCACCTCATCTCTTTCCAAGTTCGAGTCATCAATCCTGCTTCGAGAGCACCGTCAATTAGTGCCACAAGTTCAAAGCTATGCCTGATAAATTGACCTCTAAACCAACGTGTGGTTTATAAAATCGATTTTCCGTGTTAGGAAAATTTCAGGACATTAAACATTTCAAATTCAGAGAATCAAACTAAGTCACCAAAGCCGAATTTGAAATAACCATGAACGGGTTCAAAAACACAGTTCGTCCCTCCCTCCTAAAACCATAGAATCAGGACCTTTTAGATTAAAGGAATAATAAGAGGAACTGAGGAATGCTGAGACGGTGAGTGATGCCAGGACCTGCCTGATAAGTCCACGGTTGACCGGTGAGCATCTCAATGCAAGGAAAGGAGCGTTTCTTCCCTACCGTAAACACCGTACCCGGTGGAAGTCGAGCCATGTCAATGCACAGCCCGAAATCCAGGAGCACCAGGACCTTGGTGCATCGGTCGGACATCAGGCAACTAGTAAAATTGTCGCTCTATCAAAAAACTGAATAGTAAGCATAAGAGAGAAATCCTCTAATCCATATATTGAACGAAAGCTTGACGCTAAACTAAGTAGGCAAACAAGTGTTTCGCATTGAACAAGAAATAATGTCTATAACGCCTTGGTTTGCACTTGAAGTGGAAAGCAAAATTTAATGCCCGGTAGTTAAAAGTGGATAGATTCTTAAGAATCACCACTAAATTTGGTAGCAAAGGGCCGGTAAACAGCAAAATGTTAAAAAACTTGATTACTGTGCTGACGGAAATCTCCAGGCAAAGCAAGTGATTAACGAACCTTTGAAATTAAAATTGAACGCCGATTTGACGAGTGATCTCTATATCAACCTTTGCGAAAATTAATTTTAGTCGAAAGCTAACGACTACTATTGTTCATGTTAATGTCCATAGCTTTAAGATGTGCACAATTCCTCTAAAGAGCTGAATTTCGACAGTGAAGTAAATGGCTCAGGAAAATATTTCTAGCCGAGTCTGAGTTCTAAGTTGTGACTCCTCTCGCATTACAAAATCTTGTCCCTCTCTCGCTTGATTGAGTCACGTAAAGCACAGCAAGTTGAGGATGCGACAGGACTGAGGCACAGGCGAAAATTATGCTAACCTTCGTTATTAAAGTATCTATAAATGTACTGAGAATGAGTTTTGCTGCATTACATCGTAGTTAGCGCCATTGGAAGAGCCAACTCAAATTTCAACCATTCCGCCTGCCACAAAGCAAGGGAAACTTGGAGGAAAGCGTAAATAGTACTGGACTTGAACTGCAATTTGCTTCCATAACGTCGTTTTGAGCGAGATGGAAAACCATCCGAGAATGACTTATCAAAAAAGTGATAATGAGTCTAGCGACTAAAATCAAATTAAAATACGCACGGGTTTCTTGCGATAGATCAGCTTGCTCGTCATGACCGCATAGTGTCCTCTCAAGGACCTTGGAACCTTAGTATCACAGTTTTGCAAGGTAATACATTACATTCATCCAATGAAATATAGCAATTCAAATATCACCATGTAACTCAACAAGAAAATCAACCGAAGCCACTTTAATAAGACGCTAACAGATTGGGAAAACCTCCATTTTAGTAGCTTGTGCAAGTCCTAAAAACGCGCACATAAACAGTGATCTTGCTTTATCACTTAGCATTATGGTGTTATCGTATTGCGTTCCTCAGCATTCATGGGCGGCCGAACATTTGGAAATGAATAACACTCAGCAAGCAGTAAAAAATTAGAAATCATAAAATCCACTCACAGCCACCCCATCTGCCTCGGCTCCTGCATTTGCCACGTTCTCATCCAACATCGATACATTTAAAAAGGGGAACCGGTCATTAATTCGAAAGTTGTCCGGCTTAATATCCCCGTGAATAATCTTTGCATGATTATGGAGCCCTTCAGCAATCCATAGAAGCTCCAGACTAAGGTAGAGCGCCACCAGCTCCTCCTCCTGTCGCAGCAGTGATGGCGGCGATGATGGCGACAGGAGACGATAAGGAGCGTTCAGAGACGAGTGTGGTGCTCTAGTATTCTTCATTCTTTTAGAACCCAATGTTTGCTGCGGCAGGAGACCATAATTTAGCAAATTCAACAACCCCACAGAGTAGAATGGCATGAGTAGGCACGAAAAGCGCCCTACGCTGTGAGTGAGTGCCAAAGCGGGACAAATTGAGGGTCGCTAAAAAAGTAAAAATTATCAATTTATCATAAATTAAAACATACGGCTACATAACTCCTATTTCCATCCCTTAATTTGGACGTTATGACGATGTCTCACGCAACTTGTTCTAACAGTCTCCAGCGCTTTTTCGAGCTGATTAAAGGAATACCTTCAAAACAATCGGTGGAGTTCCTGGAGCAATGATAACGTAGCAGAGATATTAGTAACAAAGAGATGGAAACACTAACTTCCAGAAATGTACATCATCATAACTTCTTAAGCGACAATGCCGCTGCTACAACTACACCCACCACGTCAATAGAGATTCTACCACTACGGAAAGCGATGACAACACGTCGCCTCGTCTCACGCATATAGTAAAACTCCAGTGGAAAATCTGGTTCTTCCAATTTAACCACCCGCAGGACGCCGGCTGAAGCATTATCCTTGATAAAAATTTGTTGCTGCTCTTCCGGAAAACAACCAACAACGGTAGCATCCAGAGAAGAAGCGGTATCTAAATCGGTACCTT